TTCGCTTTGACAGATAAGATGAATTGTATGAAAATGCACAAAGCATGCCACATAAATCGTTGAAGCGGCAGCGCGAAGCGAAAAGATGGTCAACTCCCATCTTTTTGCGCGCTTTGACAATCAGCCGGTTTAATATTTATTTTGTTTCGTCCAAATTCGGGTTTTCATGCAGAAACATAAAACTTAATTACATTGCTGATAATTTTAAATCAAAATAATTAAAATCCACAGCAACTTTGATGAGTAAAAAAGCGGTACAACATTGTTTTCTTGGCGTTCATTGTGGCATACCTTTTGCGTCTGGCGCTTTGCTGGCAAAGTTATAAATGTCACGCAAAGCTACAAAGTTTTATCTGGCATCAGCTTGACAGTTTTTAAAATGAGCTGTTACTGCTAATATTGGATGTCAAACACTATACGGCGTTGTCAGTGATTGCTCTTTTTGACATTACCTTTTGTTTGTTTACATTTTTGTTGTTGGCTTTTAGGCTTCAGTGACATCAACAGATGTTGGCTGCGTTTCATTAATGTCAAATTCAACAAGCGAAGTTTGCTGCGAAGAAGGCAGTGGCAGTGAATTTAGAATTTGGGCTAAACTGGGCAGTACTGCTAGCTTCTACCGCTGTATTGTGAGTCGCTTCAGCTGATTTCGAAAAACTGCCGCAGCCACTGCAACTGTGTTATTGTATTTTGGACTTAAAAGCTTAAACAGACGGCAGCGTTGATCCAGATAAACTCGCACTTAATCCGGATCAACTGCCGTCAGTTTATGCTCTTATGCATTTTAAATTAGTTTTCATTCTATAATTCTTCGATTACGGATTGCAACCGAACTTCAGTTGGGTGGCCAGTGGCTGAAATGGTATTACAGATGGCAACTGGCAACTGAAAGCTGACAACTGAGTTGCTATATTGGCAACTGCATTTTTTTGGTTGCCGCAGAAATTTTGATTGAGATAATTTATTTCTTTTTTCAACTGGTTCTTCAGCTTTTTTACACTCAGGTCTTAGTTGCTGGTTTTTCAAAATTTTGCCATCAACTTTATAGAGCTTAACTATAGTTGCTATTGTTGGGCCTGAGCACATTAGCCTGCTCAGTCGGACTGAGCAGTCCACGACTCAAACGCACACTGGACTGGGCAGTCGGCCGAAAACAGGTTTCCGTTTTGTATACATGAACTACGCATGATTGTGTTAGTGCATGTGGCACATGAAAACAAAACGAAATAGAAAGCATGTTGTCTATGTGTGCGTGTCAATCCACCGTCAATCCGCGATTTTCGCGGACTGAAATGAGCGAGGTAAACTCGAACTCTCTTCCCCCTCTTATCCACACAAAACCGGTTTAAGGCGGACTGAGCAGTCCAGTGTGCAGAGGCCCCATAATATACATTTTCATTTCAGTAGTTTTAACCATCCGCAACGGTTGCATTGCCATCTATGATCGATCCTTTAATTATCTATCTTTTGATGTGTCGTTTAGTAATAACGAAGAAATTGGTCAAAATATAAAGCTCACGCTCGCATTGAACTGGATAGCAGGCTTTACCGACGACCTAGAGACTTGAAATTTCACAGTTGACTCAGAACCCGATGAAAATGCAATACAAAAGATGAGTTAACCCGATAGGTGCCGCAGCAATCGATATATTTTAAAACCCCGTATTTATAGTCCGATTTGGTTCAAATTTATAACGTATATTAAAAACATGAAATGGAATTACTCCATTAAAAATTTTCCGATAGGCGGCGCACGAGTCGCTATATTTGGTAAACCAGTATTTATGCATGATTGCATCATGGGATTTATGGTCCGATTACATTCATATTAAAAAGCTTGCTTTAAAAATATTTGTTTTTACTTTTAACATATTATTATGTACTTGGATGTGAAATAGCAAATTTTCTAAATTTTTTGTGATTAATGGCTCTATTCTGTATCAGTGACAAATCCTTGTCAATGTTTTTTACGGAAACATATATGAAAAAGTTTAAATTTGGCATAAAAAAAAATGTTTGTCAGCGATACAGAATTGGGCTATAAATCCGGCAAAAGTTGCCATCTTACAAATCGTTAGTACAGTGTGGAAACGGCGTATCCATGCACAATGGGCGTAACTCACATGGTCGCTGTAATACAAAAAGCCGTAACTAAAAATTCAAAAATTACTATTTGATTGATTGGTACATTTTGTCAAATTATAAGTTGTTGTTTGTTAAATTATAAGCAGCCACATCATTTTATGCGATAAAACATTTTAGTTGTGGCTTTTTTGCATCTCTGTGAATGAAGAATTGAAGCGGTAATAGCCCTTTTAGTTTTCTTTTACTATAATATGTAACATCACGTAGGTGTAATGAACTTATCAGTAAAAGACCGCATTTATTGTTTATCGATCCTTCCTTTTCATATTACAAATAAAAAATGTGTACATATATGGCCTTATTCATAAAAAAAGTAGCTTTAAAATAAGTTTATAAGCTGAAAAATTTATGAAAACGTCATTTTATAAAGCTCTTTAAATCTACTTTATTTTTTTTAGGAATAAGGCCAATAGGCTTTGAAGGCATCGATTCTAAGTTATTTTTTTTTTTTTGCGCGCACACAAATAAGCTTGACCCAACTGTTGTGTTTGTTTAACAAAATTCCTTTTTTGTTTTCCAAACATGCAAAGCAGTTTGCCCGCAATAAGCAATTACTTAGTGTAATACCGTAACAAATAATATAAATATGTACACCATACATACATACGAAATACCATACGCCAAATAGTAGTAAATAATTTGTGGTCGAGTTCAAGTACAATCGCGCACAATGTCACTTATTAGCCGGATAGCTTCATGTGTGAGTAGAAGCAAGCACTCACTTGACTTACTTATAACAACAAATAAACAAGGTGCAAAATATTTACAATATACTTTCTGAAAGTAAGCTATTAATTGATTTATTGCTTCCCAATCAGGGGCCCACTATATTACACCTAGCTATACTTTCGTATTTTGGTTTTTGTTTTCAGGAAGATTCAGACAGAAAATGACATGCAAACTAAACACTAACAGCGTACACTCAGCTGCCATAACGGAAGTGCATCAGGTGCCAATGAGTGTCATACATAGACCGATTCCTCCAGTATTGGATGAAGGAAAGGTTCAATCACTTATGAATACCATAAAGGTTAGTATAAGGCTTATCGTTATACAGCTGTTGAATATGTATATCAATGGTGTAAATAGTGATGACGTAAATTGACCGACTTCTTTGTAAAATATCTACATACGTACATTTTTAACGAGTTTTATTTGTTAATAACAGAATGAGTCAAGCGAAGACGATGTACCCCCAATAGATGTACTATGGATTAAGGGTTCTGAAGGTGGTGATTATTTTTATAGCTTTGGTGGCTGCCATCGGTACGAGGCATATAAGCGGCTGAAGCGTGATACTATTAAGGCTAAATTAGTGCACTCTACGCTGAAAGATTTATATCATTATATGGGTTCAAGTACTCCCAAAGATCTTAAATAAATAATCGAGAATAGTTATTTGTAAAAGGCTTAGTAAAACGTATGTATTTACATACATATGTATATATGTATGTAGGTTGGATTGTATACAAATATTTAATAAACCAAAAAAATCCTTATCTGTCGAGTTAATTCTATCACATACGCCAAACATTTTATGGCCAAAGTGATAAGATTAATAATATGATGAACAAAAGAAAAGCTTAAGAACTATTAAACATATATACAGTATCGGTCATATCTATAGCACGCCATTTCAAAGTGATATTGTGTGCCATTTATGTTTATTTACTTATTTTTAAGAATTTTCGATTCAAATACAGTTCATTCTCANAAGAATTTTCAATTAAAATACAGTTCATTCTCAGACAAACCCCATATAAATAAACCCAACTGTAACAATTTGTAGAAAACTACAAAAAAGTGCAACAAACACTAAACATATGTATANAATTTGTAGAAAACTACAAAAAAGTGCAACAAATTTTCACCTAAATTTCAGACTTTTTTCTCGGAAGTGTTACAATTTGTTTGAGTACACGGTTTTTTAGCCCCTTCAATTTTAGTCTGATAATGTGCAAGTTTCAAGTGGCTAAAAGTTACCGTTGATTTTTTAGAATTTTTTTCGCCAAAGGTGTTGCGGATTTCTTCCATATACAAATAAATTGAGTTTGTTCATCATATGGAAGCCAATGCGACAAAAAAAAAATCTAAAAATTAAACGGTAACTTTTAGCCACTTGAAACTTGCTCAGACTAAAATTGAAGGGCTAAAAACTGTGTACTCAAAAAAAATCTAACACTTCTGAGATAAAAGTATGAAGTTTATGTGAAAATTTGTTGCGGTTTTTTGTAACTTTCTACAAATTATTAAGCNCATTTATGTTTATTTAAGAATTTTCAATTAAAATATAGTTTATTCTCAGACAAACCCGGTACAAACCCAAGCTTAATAATTTGTAGAAAGTTACAAAGATACTGTAGCTATTCAAATTTTCATATTTTTGTATTTTTATACCCGAGCGCACTTGTGCACAAGGGTATTATAACTTCTTTCAGCCGTAGGACGGGATGGTATTGAAAATGGGCAAATATATGGACAACAACCACGCCTACCTCCCATATAACGGTAATTTTCAGAAATACGAAAACTGCCATATTTTAGTAACTACTGAAGCCTATTCANATTAAGCTTGGGTTTGTACCGGGTTTGTCTGAGAATAAACTATATTTTAATTGAAAATTCTTAAATAAACATAAGTGANCACTTGTGCACAAGGGTATTATAACTTCTTTCAGCCGTAGGACGGGATGGTATTGAAAATGGGCAAATATATGGACAACAACCACGCCTACCTCCCATATAACGGTAATTTTCAGAAATACGAAAACTGCCATATTTTAGTAACTACTGAAGCCTATTCAATAAAAATTGATATTTACAATAATTTTTAGGCGAAAAATAAGAATATTAGAAAATTTTGGAAAATGGGCGTAGCCACGCCCACTTATGGTTACATGTGTATATCTTGGTAACCGCTGCACCAATTTCTTCCAAACTTGGTACAGTTGTTAGCCTTGGTTGGCATACCAAATGGCTGAAAATTTTTAAAATCGGACAATAAACGCCACATTAGAGAAATACGAAATCTTCGATATATCAGTATACTGATATATAAATATTAAAGCTAATTTATTCAAAATTGATGCTTGCAAAAATTCTATACCAAGAAAACTTGTATGATAAAATTTTGGAAAATAGGCGTTTACATATATGTATCTCGATAACCGTCCTACCAATTTGTACCAAACTTGTAATGGTTACTTTTCTTGCCACGTAAAAGCAAAACGTTTAAAATAATTGATATTAGGGCGTGTGTGAATCGGTAGCAAAGTTCTATGGGGAAAGCTGTTGAATAATATTTTTACTATGGTGAGACAGTTTTGCCAATCTGCTGTGTGAAATGAAATCTTTTTTGACAGCAGTAAATTTTTCATAACCGCAGATTTATGCGCAATAAACTATTACAAATTGAGTGAAATTAATATTTTAAGAAAACATCTACCATCATTGATTGCAGTTCATCAACTTAACCTTTTATTTTACGAAAAATTACACACAGCAGCAATCTTTGCAATTGTCAAAATTTTCTATGCATTTGTCAAAAATTTCACTAGCCCTATGGGCTACTGAAATTTTATTCACCTCAAACTTGTCAAAAATTTACTTGCCGCGAACTTTGTTACCGATTCACACACGCTCTCGGACTAAAATTACGGCCCCTTTTCATATAACGGTAAATTTCAGAAATGCTTGAAACTTCAATATTTCGAAATTTACGGACGCTAATTTACTCAAAATTGATACATCCCGGCTTACCATGTATCAGTCGCTTTCGGAAAAGTGAAACATATATTTAATACTTGTNACTCAAAATTGATACATCCCGGCTTACCATGTATCAGTCGCTTTCGGAAAGGTGAAACATATATTTAATACTTGTGCCGGGTATTTTATTCGGCTCCGCCCGAACTTAGACTTCCTTATTTGTTATCTTTAAAAATAAATGTAAGTATGCATGTGTTCCGAACTATTTTATTATTAAAATTCAATATCATCGCAAAATATTCAGCTGTGCCCCCAATTCACCAAATAAACGGAGCTTTTTCACGCAATACGCGCAAGCCATACTTTTCCCATTCTCCACCAAATATCCATAACTCTGGTGCGCTTTCCAAGCATGACATTATTGCTGCACCTTTCCAAGCTATCATACCTGCATCCATTTCCTTGCTAAAAGCATTCACTTCAAATGATGAAGATGCTGTCGATATGGCCGCTAATTGCAGCATAACACGTTGTTCTAGCCATTTAGCAAATCCAGCAAATTTAGTGCTGCCACCAACAAGTAGTATACAGCTGTACATTTTACGCTTAATCTCTTCTGTTGAACAACGTTCAATGCTGCGTACTATAGCATGATCTAGAGGCAAAATTTGACCATTAAACATATATAAAAGCTCATCCTTATCACCAGTTTTCACATTAACATCACGTTCCACAACATCGTCTACAACCAAATCGTCCTCAGCAACTTCACCCGTCGATGGTAGTGCTCCTTCCAACAATTGGTCACGCCCACCATTTCGACGTCCTGTTTCGCGTATATACTCGGCATCAAAGCAGTCTTCTGGATCTGGTTGTTGACTACTTCGTAGTTGAACGTTTGCCTGCTTCGTTTTGGTTGTTATATTTAATAATTCTGTATGAAAAAGGGATAGAGGCGCAACCACACATTCGTCGCCTATTTGCAAAGTATAACGCATTTTTTTATTTGCTTTCTTTACCTACAATTCATACAAAGACAACCAATAAATTATATACATGCATATATGATGTACATTTGCTAATAATTGTACCTCAAAGTTTCTCTCCTGGGCTCCACACACATCCAAGGTAAGATGGCAGAAACGTTCCTTTAAATCCATTAATAGCGCGGCATCTGAATAGTCTGTTTCTACATTACAATCTTTGTAAGGAAAACCACATTTACGAAGCAGATTTAAAAAAACTTGCGTAACATCACCTCCCCCATAAGAAAGACGCACTCGTGTTTCTGGATGACTAATACCATCCTCCACACAAGATATCGAGCACTTTTGATCTCCAATATCAACAACACACGCATAGCTGAGCCCCGCGCCAAAAGTGGCTGCCACATGATCTTGTAATAAAAAACACGAGCGAAAACGTAAACGTTGTAATAGCAATGTGGTTAATTCACGTAGATGACTACGGTTGTAGACGTCTGGTATAACCAATACAGCACTGTAGTGTGGCAAAGTACCAGCGCTAATATTCAAATGCTTTCGTAAAGCATATAACCAAATTGTTTCCATATGAGATATCACCGCTGCGGTAGAGCCACCCACATATTTATGTAGATTAAATTCCCCTCGCCGCAGTGGAAAATGAATATTGTATTCCACGGACTCCTCTTCTCGTAAAGACAAAATGTCTTTATCGAAAAGTAATTCATCTTNTGTAGTGTGGCAAAGTACCAGCGCTAATATTCAAATGCTTTCGTAAAGCATATAACCAAATTGTTTCCATATGAGATATCACCGCTGCGGTAGAGCCACCCACATATTTATGTAGATTAAATTCCCCTCGCCGCAGTGGAAAATGAATATTGTATTCCATGGACTCCTCTTCTCGTAAAGACAAAATGTCTTTATCGAAAAGTAATTCATCTCTTTTGCGAGTGTCCCTCATTTCATGCTTTATGGCTTCAGAGTCCTCGTCATCTGAGAGCGGCAGATCCTCCGGAACACTTCGCCTGTTAAAAGTTGCTATTTGTTGTGGTGGTGTAGCAACGCGCAAACGTTTAGCACTTCGTTCATGTGGCTCACGAAGTGGTGCATATGATTGTATAGAATGGGAGACTTGCAGTCTCTGTTCCTCGAACTCAGCAATTGTTTCAGCTGAGCTCTGTACGTTCGGCAGAAGCGCATCCTTATGATTTTGCGAGTTTTTATTTCCACGCCGCAGATGTGCCACTGCATGCAAAATCGTAATGGGATTAAGATCGGAAGCTCTTCCAATCCTTAAATACAAAGATCCTGGGTGTATTATAATTATACGTTGGGCTTGCATTTACTCGCTTTAAAACATCAAAATACTATCCGAAAGCTCGGTTTTTATTAACAAGGCATAATGCTAAAAAAACTCTATGAAATAATAGTAAACAACACCTGGATAATGTTGGAACGATACGAGTACCGAGTACAGAATTTCGATACTTTTCATGAGTACTGAGTAGTATCGAGAACTCGATACTTTTTTACAAGTACTGNTCCAATCCTTAAATACAAAGATCCTGGGTGTATTATAATTATACGTTGGGCTTGCATTTACTCGCTTTAAAACATCAAAATACTATCCGAAAGCTCGGTTTTTATTAACAAGGCATAATGCTAAAAAAACTCTATGAAATAATAGTAAACAACACCTGGATAATGTTGGAACGATACGAGTACCGAGTACAGAATTTCGATACTTTTCATGAGTACTGAGTAGTATCGAGAACTCGATACTTTTTTACATGTACTGAGNATACTATCCGAAAGCTCGGTTTTTATTAACAAGGCATAATGCTAAAAAAAAACTCTATGAAATAATAGTAAACAACACCTGAATAGTGTTGGAACGATACGAGTACCGAGTACAGGACTTCGATACTTTTCATGAGTACTGAGTAGTATCGAGAACTCGATACTTTTTTACATGTACTGAGTAACCGCCCTATTCCCACAACACTGACAAAATTCATCATATGACTATTGTCACAATTACTGCGCCTAAAAAACAATAAGGGTACTCATTTAAAAGCGCAAAACTCTCGCAACTGGGCAAACTTTGGAATTTTAAACCCTCGCAAATGAAATGTCAAAATTTGTATGGAAAGCCATTTCCGACATTAGCGACAAGTTTCGGATCGATATCGCACTTGTTGACTTACAAATATTTGATATCAAACGTCGACAAAACCGATACCGATTCGAAAATTGTCGTTAACTGGTTACAGAATCTGTCCCAGGCCTACAAAAATGATATCGTCCGATTCAGCTGGAACAAAAATGCTTCAAACAAGTAAGGGTTTCTCTGTATTATGGCATCGAACCGACATATATACATCTTTCATTTGAATCAGTAAAAAAGCTCTATTGGCTCTTACATTCGGGTTTTGTTAGGCGTTTTTTCCATATTTTTTGCCTATGTGCGCTTTTATTCGAAGCCTAAATGTTTCGGTACCGAGTATCGAGAGTATTGGATACTTAAAAGTATTGACTCAGCACATCACTACTGCTGTCATCTCGACTTTGACGTTAGCAAAACAGCTGATTCTGTCAAATTTAATGAGAGCCTATTAGCGGTGTTGCCATCGGCGCCACCATCTCTATTCTCTCCACCGTGATGCAATAATAGTTGCGTTCGCGTAGCTGTTAATTGTTCATGTTTAACCAAGACTTTCAGGTTTTGCGTTCGCGTACGCAAAAAACTTGCAAAGGAGGGAAAATTGAGAGAGCAAAGTGACATTTCATTTTGAGGGGAAGCTGCTGGTTTTTGCTGGAAAAATGTTTGCCAATAGCAATTTTCCAACAGGAAAACAGCTGATCAAAAACAGCGGGTTTGAATTAACGCAAATCACAAAATTATATTTGATGGTTTGGAAGTTAAAAATTACAAAATGCGACTAATTAAACTTGTAAGAAATAAGTAGTTATTTGTTTAATCAATAAACTGAGTCAGTATAACACTTTGTGATGACTTTTCGTATGTTTTAATTTTACACTTTTGAATGTAAACAAAAATTATATCAGCTGTTCGTCTAACTTGCAAGCGAGATTTTCCAGCACGTGAAGACGGCCAGTAAGGGAGCGGTGCGATAGAGATAACTGTCAGTTTATCGAACCTTGTGCGTTCGTTTAAAATCTCCAGTAAAAACCAACCAACTGCCAAATTCCGGCAAAATGTCATCTGTTCTCTCACAAGAGAAAAATATCCCAAATAGTACGCGAACAGAAAATTTGCAGAAACTTGCAAGTTAGACAATTTTTGTTTACATTCAAAAGTGTAAAATTAAAACATACGAAAAGTCATCACAAAGTGTTATACTGACACAGTTTATTGATTAAACAAATAACTACTTATTTCTTACAAGTTTAATTAGTCGCATTTTGTAATTTTTAACTTCCAAACCATCAAATTCAATTTTGTGATTTGCGTAAATGCCAACCAGCTGTTTTTGATCAGCTGTTTTCCTGTTGGCAAATTGCTGTTGGCAAAAATTTTTCCAACAGCAACCAGGAGCTTCCCCTCAAAATGAAATGTCACTTTGCTCTCTCAATTTCCCCTACTTTGCAAGTTTTTTGCGTACGCGAACGCAAAAACTTGTAAGTTTTGGTTAAACATGAACAATTAACAGCTACGCGAACACAACTATTATTGAATCATGAATTGCACCATTATTTTCATCACTGTTTCAGGATACTGAAAATAGATAGGCGGTAAGCCGATATACAAAAAATTCACATCCAACATGCAAAATTGATTATTGTTAATACTCCGGTAAAAGTTTGTTATCCCTATTTTGAATGAAAATACATAACTTGCAAATTGTTTTATTGGATTCATAAAATGACTTGCCGTTTATGTTTAATCGAAATAGCTAACGGCATAACTATTTCCTCGGATAATGGCAAGAGTGAAATCGCTAAAATAATTTTTAAATATTTTCAAGTTGAGGTAAATTATGATATTTTCTCTTGTTTATAAATTCACACTATGCAAAATGTGTATACATGTGTGTATATATGTATATGCAAATAATAACAATCCATTTAAGGTTCAGCCTGACGATGCTATTTCTAATGAAATTTGTTGTGAGTGCTTCAAACATATAGACGATTTTCACAGATTTTGGCTAGATATAGACGATAAACAAAGAAATCTACAAAAACATTTAGAAAATGCAGAAACCNTTGGCTAGATATAGACGATAAACAAAGAAATCTACAAAAACATTTAGAAACGAAGCATCAGATAGTAGATATTAAGACAGAAGACTTCCCCATAGCACCATTCGATTCATACGTTTACGACGGGAATATTGGTTTACACGAACCACAAATTGATTTGGTCTTGGCACAAACAGAACTTACCGAAGATGAGGTTGAATTCGATGCAGCTGAAATGGGTAACGAAGCATCTACAGACGAGGATTCACTGCCCTCTACTGCTGAAAAGTCAAATGGGAAAGGTAAGTAAGCTGTGTTCATTGCGAATTGCTATAGTGTAGTGTTAAAGCTAATTCAAAAAGGAACATTTCTGAAGGTAAAACGAAACATAAAAGGAAGTATAGAAAAAGATCCAAGGCCGATGAAGAGGCTTTAACCGAGGAAGAAGCTGCGAGTCGACGTATGGCTAAATTAGCACTAATTGCTGAATTGGATGAATACATTGCGGAAAATTGCGAATTAATTTGTTGTTTGTGTGAAAAGCCACTTTCAGACTTTTTGAACTTAAGGAAGCATTTTCGTCAAAAACATAAATGTGAAGGATATATGACTTGCTGTAATAACCGATTTTTGAAACGTTCTCTTTGGGTAGACCATCTGAAAATGCACAGGGACCCGGAATTATTCAAGTAAACATTCGCTTAATATGTATGTAGATGCCTATATGTGGAACTTGATTTTAGATCATTTTCAGGCTGTACATACATACATATGCAGCCATTCCATATTAAACGATTCGATTTGGTTGAAATTTTCCTCATAGTTTAATTTCATACTAAAACTGATAAAAAGGAACCTAGAATCAAAAAAATTTATTTATTTTTCCGAGATGTGCAACATTTCAGCTATATAGAAGCCCTTCGCGCAACCTGCCACGTTTAGTATGCAATGGCTGTTCATATGTATGTATGTTAGACTGCATCACTCCCCATACAAAAAAAAATCGGTACTATTTTACCATTGGAATTATAAAATTTATTGTATTTTACGACGTCCACCAAAATTTTTCGGAATAATATTTAGATTTAAGCGAGCTGGACTTACTTGAAAATACCTCCACAAATGGAGTTTTTATGAAATAATAGTTTCTTAAAAGTGTTTTTTGAAAAAATCCCCCAAATGACAAACCGGTTTACGCTTAAAAAATTTACATAAAAATATTAAAAAAAATAAATAAAAATATGAGCGGAATCGTAATAATGATATTTTTTTAAAAGATTTTTAAATAACCTTTATACAGATTTTTTAAGCCTAATCTGTTTCGTCATCTGAGATGATTTTTTTCAAAAAGTTCTTTAAGAAACTTTTTATTCATAAAAAACTCCATTTTTGGAGGTATTTTCAAATTTTTCAGAAATATTCTGGTGTACGTCTTAAAATATAATAAATTTTGTAACCCAGGCGGAAAAATCGGAACTTTTTTTGGTGATGTACTCTAATGTATGTACATACCCAGTAGAAATCGGTTGTATGCATTCATGCTAGCGAATTGCAAGCGAATGTACGTTGTCGTTTTGAGTACATTTCTTGATAAATTGGAAGTGGAATTTTTGTAATATTTTCAGTCTTGTACAAAAATTTTAGTGAACGGACGTGTTGTGCGATACTATTTTCAGCGCAAACGGGCTTTTACAAGATATGCATTTCAATATGTAAATGCTACTTGTTTGTATGTCGCTGTATATTGAAATGTATCAGAAAAGTAGCATTTACATATGGGGATACATATCTTGTAAGAATGCTTTAATACTGTTCCATTAATGCATTTTTGTATGTTTGAAACATTAATACAGCCATATGCATACAGCAGTAGTACAAGTGTATGATTAAGGTACGCATACGCTCTGAGAAACCTCGCGTGTTAAATGGAAATGAAGGTTCATTTATACTGGCATGTATACACAGCTACAAGCTCATGCCACCAACAGTGATGTTGTATGCATAAGATTTCTACTGGGTACATCAAATTTATCATTAAGACCCATGGTACAATAACTAAAGGTATTGTCTTCCCAGAGAGCGCAGATGTTTGAAAAATATCGTTGTTGCCCACACTAAAAGGTTTACTGTAAGGGAAAAGGGGTATTTCTATTCACCATATACCATATATGAGTAGTCCACTTGCAAACAGCGTTATGTGATTTTATAATAGTAAGCCATCAATTAAAAAAAAATGTCTACAACAACAAGTAAAATCCATATTGTATATGTATTTTTTTAATAATAATAATAATAATAGATTGGCGCTTACACATATGTTAGTGTTTGGCCGAGCTTCTCCTCCGATTTGTGGCGTGCGCCTTGATGTTGTCACACAGAGAGGAGGGACCAACAGTTTTACGCCGACTCCGAACGGCGATTATTGTATTTTTTTATGAGAAGCTGTTTTTCTTGGCAGAAATACACTAGGAGGTTTGCCATTGCCTGCCGAGGGATGACCGCTGTTAAGAAAAAACCTTTTTTTCTATATTTTTTTCGATGTTGCTTTGACCAGGGTTTGAACCCAGGTGTTGCGGAGTGGAAGCGCGCACTGCTCACTGCTTTTCTAAGTTCATCAGAAGATGAAGACTATTGAACTTATATAAATACGTACAATAAATATTATAGCGACTTTTGAAAGTGTATCACAGCGCACGGCAGTGCGCGCGAGTGGCGAAAGCAACCACAGTAGCATGNGGTGTTGCGGAGTGGAAGCGCGCACTGCTCACTGCTTTTCTAAGTTCATCAGAAGATGAAGACTGTTGAACTTATATAAATACGTACAATAAATATTATAGCGACTTTTGAAAGTGTAACACAGCGCACGGCAGTGCGCGCGAGTGGCGAAAGCAACCACAGTAGCATGCCAAAATGACTCGCTTATATATACACGAGATTTGGAAGTTTTTATCCAGACGTCCAATCGACATGTATGGGATATCGTAGCAAAGGTCTTGCGCAGTGTGTCCAGAAAATGTATTCAAGCTTCATAAACGATTATCCGAATTCTTGGAAATTAGGCAAAATTGTTGCGTAACAAAAAACGTTTATTTGCTTTTGCCGGTTTTAGGGGGCATGTGAGTACACCCAACATATGTTATTCTATAGGTCAATACCTTTCAAACGATACCTTATATATTGAGTTCCGGCTACTAGTTGGAAAGATATAGAGCTAAATGTGTTTTGGTTCGTGTCTCCACTACGAGATGCTTTGGTATGTATGTGGCATCTGTACGTACCTTCATTTAATTTTTTTCAAACTTTCAGGAATTAAAGCACAAAAAACTAAGGTTTTGTTCCAGGATGTTTTGATTCGTATGCCTGTGTGGGCGTGGCTGCTGCCTGAAATTTCAAAAAAAGGCAATTTTTTAAACCACAACTGAGGCCGCACTACTCAATCCAGGTCATTGCAGCAGCAGCAGAAGGGTCTTAAACAAGCTATCTAACGCTATCTTTTGTGTTTATAAAATATAAATATGTCGTAACGTTGTCGCCTGAAAACTAAAAATCGGGCTGCTGAAAATATACATTTCGGGCATTTTCTCGAAAACTGGTCAGTCGATTTTATTCTAAGTTTCCACAAATCTAGCCCAAAACCTTAGCTTTCTTCTGGTATATAGCTGGGAAAACTCTTGTTGTGGAGATATTGGGATTCAAATTGAAAAAATGTCGCTCCAAAGGTTCAAATGGTTAAAAATTGACATATCGGTCTAATTTGGGTATTTAAGATATAAAAATAACGTACCCAGTTCCCCGAAAAAAATTGCCCATTCCCCGTTTGCCACTTGAACCGAAATTCCCTGCAAGTCGGGGAATTTCCCGCGAGTTGACAAGTTGAAGGATGCAGCTGTGCTAATCACTTCGTACATGTCTTGGAAACCACACCTGGTAAGACGCATACAATATTACCTACATTTTTACATAAATATGTATGTATGAATGCAAAACACATGTGTGCGCCCCACACCGGTAGAAATCTTAATAAAATTTNTTTAAAAAACACATGTGTGCGCCCCACACCGGTAGAAATCTTAATAAAATTAAACTACGAGACAATCAGATGAATGCAGTTGTTTATTGTATCCAAAGTTGGTACCAAGTTGATAAATTTTATCATTTTTCATAATCATTCATCATAATCATTTTCGAATACAAAGGATATGATCATTCTTTATTCCGTATTTGAAAAATTATGTTTCAATGGACAAATCGATTTGAATACATAATTTAGATTAAGATAATGTTTTTAGCAATTTATTTGAGAAAAATAAAACATTTAGATTATTGTTTGTATTTTCGTCAATCTTAAATTTGCTACCCCAAAATAATTGATATCAAATAAAACACCTCTTTGAGGTAAGATTTTCGAGTGACGGAAGCTGAACTAGAAACAAAAAAATTTATGATATCAATTTCGTGACGAAAATTATTCGCATTTTTTAACTGCCTTTTAAACGTACGGAAAATCTTTTTTTATTTGTTCGGAACGTTGCAAAATTCCGTCACTGCTAGAAACACAAAATAAAAAACAGAACTTTTGCAACGATTCGTATGAATATAAAGGATTTTCCCTACGTTACAAGGGCAGTTAAAAAATGCGTATAATTTTCGTCACGAAATCGATATCATAAATTTTGTGTTTCTAGTTCAGCTTCCGTCACTCGAAAATTTTACCTGAAAGAGGTTTTTTATTTGATATATACATATAGTAAGTATTACAGCGACTTTTGCTAGAGTAGCTAACATTTGATGCTATTTGTTTTAGAATATATAAGGATTTTGTATTGTATTGTTGGTGGACATGAAACTACTTTAAATACTGGTACGTTAGCCACCAAAAACTAAAATTTTTAAAAAAAATTTTACATAGAGCACTTTGCAAGTGGACTACTCATATGTATGTCCATTTTTTTTAAACAAACCTTCTGGCAGAGAACCTATTTAATTTGCAAAAGCCGAAAAATAAACATTTGCTTAGTAAATAAAACAAAAATTTTGATTGCTCAATTTATTTCGATTTTTTTTTTTAATTATAAAAATTTAATTGAGCGAAAACAAAAAGTAACGCCACCTAAAAGTAAAAGAATCAACATTTAAATACGTCAAAATTAAAATACGGGAGCACGAATTTCGATGTGAAGCAAAACTCTACTAAGACAATACCTTTATTAATTGTACCATGATTACGACCATGATACAAAAAGAAGGTAGTTTCATTTCAAAATTTTTGACAGAAAATAAGTTTTTGAAGTTTCATAAATTGTACAAAATTATGAGCTACCTTGCCACATTGATAGCAATCAGACAATACATGAGAGGATTTAATGTTGTGCGTGTGAAATTTTCGGTTATTTGTACAATGACTCATCAGAAAGAGCACAGTATAAACTTTAAGAAAAGCCATCCTTCGCCCCTTGCCCCTTCTACAGGCACTCGAAGGCCCATTTCAAAAAAGGGTAAACTTTGCATTTTCGCAAAGAAAAGTTAAACTCGTGTTAGGCCATCAGGAGTATTTTTGCTCAAAACTCCTTTCCGCGTTGGTTGCCTTCGGCCGCGCTAGAAAAAAATAACGTCATCAGCCCAACTCAGGTTACGCCATCCACAGTATTTTTGCGCAAAATCCACGTCCAAGTTTACAAAAAAAGTGCAT